ACACTAAAATTGAGCCTACTGATTGGTCAAAACTCCAATGTCCGAGAATTCGATCATGTCCGAGAATTCGATCATTTACCTTACGTAGTAATTAATAACTGTAAATGTACCAAAAATAACTGTAACGTTACAGAAGACTACTTGGCAAATGTAATTAGCTTGTAGGAAACTATGACCAGCATCTAATTAGTGTAAAACCTGAACTAATGTTAGCACTAAAGTGTTCAAATTTTGGGTCGAAGGACACCAACTGTAAACCTTAATTCGAACTTCGAAGCTTGTAGACTTTACATACATACAAGGGGCATTCGAGGAGGAACAGCCACTTGTCCGTGTATACCCTCACGCAAACTGGCTATTGCCACGTACGCTCCGCCGAACCAAATGGTTATCACCATCATCAGCGCCACAACGGGGTCGCTCAGAACCAGACATGTGCCCCCCCAACTAGAATCCAGCAGGTTGCGATGGTTCCGGACAACGACGAGGGGGCGCTTGGGGGGATCGTCTTGGGCTTCGTTGGGACACTAATTTCCATGTTGTCGAGACCGCCGAGGGATTTCAAATTGGACACCAACACGATGTAATGGCGGTAGTACCGGTGCCATAACGCATATATGTACGTGGTGAGGAGACTTCGAAAGCAAAACTAAGTCCACCTCCGCGCCCTGTATTCCCACGTGAACGACCCATAGTACACCGTAAACTCGTCATGATGGAACGAGGCACAAGCCAGACACATACTTCGCCCAGGGGCAATTCCCCATCCGGGCGTGCTCGCATTCAAACTACAGCGGCAGGGCATCTCGGATTGTGTCGTTGGCTGACAAGAATGTGCACATAAGCCGTCGAAGCTCTTGGCCATAATACAACGCAGCATACTTCCAAGGGCTAGTCTGGATGCCACCCCATAAACTAACTTTTGGATGCACGTATTGTTCTACTTTAAGTATGAAATATGTACTATCCGGAAACCGAACGAGGTGGTGAAGCAGTCGGCGGGGGGGATTCTGGGGGATTGATTCAGATCATATCGCATCACGTGGGCGTTTGAAGTGCGGTCGGACAGACGCGCACACAGCATGCAGGTGTTGAATTGATGGGATGCGACTTGCGGCTTTGGAGCAGGCGGCTTGCGTTAGTGAGCGACTTACGAACAAGAGAGGAAATCGGAAAGTGATTAAGGAGTGTTAAGCTAATGAACTACTTCAACACATATATCCTGTTGTTCTCTTCTGCCTACGCACTTGAAGGTGACCTAGCGCCAATGCCCTTGATGGTCGCTGCATCTTCGTTTCTGGTGCAATGATGTAAGTGTGCAATGCTGTCCTGGTGATAAACATTGTCATCCAGGGTTCAAGTTGCGGTATCCGGATGATTCCGTTGCCATCAACATACCGAACTTCAACACTCCCCTAACCCTGATGACTGATGACTCCATCATCGATAGGCTGCGCTGTCATTGGCCATTCTCTTGGGCTGACTGGCCTGTCATTGGCACATTTTCTTGGGGATGCTGGCCTGTCATTGGTCCATTCTCTTGGGGTTGGGGGTTTGCTGTCAGGCAGTTTGCCATTGACCATTTTCGAAATTGCTCGGATGCGAACTTCGTTTCGATTTTGGTCAAGGCGTCGGCTCTCATCTCTGTCGTGGGGACGAACTTGAGGGCCAATGCGCCGGCTTGAACGAGCTCGCGAAGGTAATGATGTCTCACATCGATGTGTTTGGTGCGCTCACTGATCGCTGTAGACTTGGATGTAGCGATGGCGGACATATTGTCGCAGTGTAGGGTGAGCGTATTGGCTGCGACGCCGAGGTCGGCCATGAGACCGCGCAACCACGACGATTCGCGGGCCGCTTCGGCCGCCGCGATGTATTCCGCTTCGCAGCTGGATAGTGCGGTGATGCGCTCGCGGACACTCTTCCACATGAGGGGACCGCCGAGGAACGACCACAGGAAGCCCGTGGTGGATCGGCGATCGGGGCGCGTAGCCCAGCTTGCGTCGCAGTATCCTTCCAAGGTAGGCTCCCCTGTGCCGAATTGGATGCCCCATGTCTTGGTTCCTGACAGGTATCGTAGGACACGCTTGGCGCCGAGCAGGTGTGGCGTGCGCGGGGCATGGAGATGACAAGACAGACGTTGGACGGCATGGGCAATGTCGGGACGTGTGCACACCATCAGGTAAACAAGGGATCCGATCATTGCTCGGTACTCCCCTTGGTCTACACTTGGCTGATTTTCGTCGTGCCATAGGTCTTCTTGGTCGGCCAGCTCTGGGGTGGCGACGGGGTGGCAGTTGGTCATGCCGAATCGATCAAGGACTTTGGCAGCGTACGCGTCTTGGGACATGGTGAGTGTTGCTTCGTCCATGTTTCGGCTGATTCTGATGCCGAGTAGGTAGTGGACGGGACCTTGGCGCTTGAGTTCGATATTGGCGGCCAAGGTGGTCATGATCTTTTCCATTTTCTCTTGGGTCGGAGCGGCGACTATGAAGTCGTCGACATACGTGCCGAGGATTTCCAGGTCGTTGCCCTGGCCGCGGGTGAAAACGCATGGGTCGTGGGCGCTTTGGGCCCAGCCGAGTGAAGCAATCTGTTTCTTGCAGTGCTTCTCGAACTCGTGGCCGCTCTGGTTCAGTCCGTAGAGCGCCATGGTGACCAAGGCGGCCTTGCCGCGTTGGGTCACGTGTCCTTCAGGTTCGACAGCCCATATTGGTCTTCCTAACGTTGCTTGGATGTAGGCGTTCACTGCGTCGGCCTGTTCGATCACCATGCGGCGAGAGGTGGCGACGGCGCAGATGGCGCGGATCGACGTCATTTTGATGACGTTGGAGGAGGACTCATCGTAGTCTACTCCTGCGATCTGCGAGAAGCCTTTCAAGACCCAACGCGCCTTCCAGCGGATGACATTGCCTTCGGCGTCGGTCTTGCGGGCGTAAGTCCATCGGCCTTGGATGACTTTATGTCCGGGTGGTGGTGTTTGGACGGTCCAACACTTGAGCGCGAGAAGTTGCGCCACTTCGGCTTCTTCAGCCGCTTTCCAGTGGCGCCAGTCCGGTGAAGCCATCGCCTCTCGGTGGCTGTTGGGGACCGGATGGACTTGGACGGCTGCGCAGGCGTACTCGACGCCGTCGACGCGGTAAGTCACTGTATTTTCTCCCGTGAACGAGTCGTACTCATATTGGTAGCCTTCCAGATCTGCGTCCAGGGCCACTTCGGCCAGCGCCATCGAGGCGTAGCGAGGGTTTGGCTTAGGTATGCGCTTGGGTAAGGGATGCTCGCTGTCGAAGGCGAGGTGGCGCGACGGATCGGGGCTTGGGGTGGCGAAAGACGGTGATGCCGCGAGTGCTTGGCGGCGCGCTGCGTTCATCTCGTTCCGGAACTGGTCCGGGTGTTTGCGTCGGCCGGTGTCGTTCGGGCCCGAGCGCATATGGGGTGCTTTAAAGTATGATGGTCGTGTGAAAGCCGATGATGTGTTTGCTGCCGCCGGCGCGGTTGTGGGCGCCTGGCGGAAGTGCGATGTTGTCGAACGAGTGCTATGGTGTGGCGTAGGGTTGACGAGGCGACGAGGCGCCGTAGTGGGAGCCAGATGGGCCGGTGGGGTATCGTCGGGCGTATTAGCTGGTAGGATGGCGTCGACCGCATTGTCCACGACGCGTCGAACGGTGTTGACCGCTGACTCGAAGTACGTAGGCGCCGCTTGGATGGCGCGATGGGCGAGCGTGGTCGTGTGACCGCCGGAGTTGGGTGTCGTGTCAGCATCATCGTCGTCGTCGTCGTCAATAGAGTCCGGGAGCGACGAGTCACCGAAGAATTCCGACTCCATGAAGGTAACATGTACTCCATGAGTCATTTTGTGTTCCTCTACGTCGTATAGCTTGTAGGCTTTCATGCTATCCATGTAGCCCATCATGATGCACAGCGTCGCCTTGGGTGCGAGCTTGTTGCGGCGTTCGGGTTGCTTCACCAGTTTGAAGCACTTGCAGCCGAAGACCCGCATGTTATTGAGTGTGGGTACGTGGCCGCAAAA